GTAAGGCCATTCTGCTACAGAACTACAGGCATACACAATTAACATGTACAGTAGGTATGCAGTATATAGCACCTTGTGAGACCAAACTGATGTGTATAAAAAGCGACAAAGTAAATCAGAATCTTAACCAGGTTAAACCGGAGAGAATCATGCATATCTAAAGATAGGTGAGCAATTTTCATATCACATTACTATCTGCAGCAGTGAGATGGCCGTGTTGACAGCGCTGTCCCCAGCTTTGGTGTACTTGACACATTCCCCACGGCTAGTCTACATGTGGAAAGTGCCAACAGTGGCAAAGGGACAGCTCAGCCAGCTCAGGGAATACAGCAGGAGGTGCATGTAAGCAGGGACAACAGCATCATTATGGCATGCGGTACAACAGTGTGTCCTCAGTACATCAGAAAACATATTTCCAGATAGCTGTTTACCTCTGGGATGAAAGCGCCTTGCTCTCCTGTAATGGAAGGTGACAGATAACAGAGCAGAGAGGATAATGATATATATTCTACCCCAGGTTCTTCTTTTTCTATTTAGCAGTGGAAGGTCTTAGCTCAATAGCACAGCTATTTCAGGAGATCTAGGCCTTATCATGCCACCACACACAGGGATAATGAACTTGTCCTATCCTGGTACATTATATACATGTCAGTGTGTATATGTGGGTGCGTGTGTGTGCGTGTTCTGTTTTAACTCAAGAGGACAGCCCATGTGTTGTTACATAGTGATGAAGGGCACTTGGTTATCTCTACCTGGCACCCTTATCACATCTGCACATGTGACATCTTTCAATAACCCTCAGTCCCCACCTTTCTCTCCTCCGCTCTATAAAAACAGGGGCCAGAGAGATAAAGAGTGTGTGTTTGCATGTATGTGCGTGTCTGTGGCGCCGCAGCGGGAGTGTGCCTGAAAGAGAGAAGAGCACAGAAAGGGAGAAAAAGTGATGAGAAGAAGTACATTCATTTTATGGCTATATATACTTTTTTTTCATTTCAGAGACAAAAATTGTTCACCAATGAGGGAATCTCCGTACATCAGTAGATGCCTCAACAGACAGAACAATGAGAGGTATCTGGAGGGAGGTTTGGAGCATACAGTACTGTTGTAATTAAATCATATAGCAAAACAGCATAACTGAATCAGATTAAAAAGAAAAAGGGGCAGTAAACTCACCAATAGCTGCATATAGACAGGTTCTGGGTGTTTGTTAGGTCTAGCCAATACTGCCACAGTGTACACTGTGTTAATACACTCACTGTATGAGGTACACCTGTACAAACATACGCAATCCAATACAATGCTTCTGTCATAAATTCTACCTTTAGGAAGCTCTATGAGTGTCAACAAAAACTGAACATTAAAAGCATCATCAAAGTAGACTTTATGGCAGGAAAGTTGTATCAGATTGCATTAGTCAATATGAATGATGAGTAAAACTAGAAGAATAAGACCCAGGTTATAATAAACTAAGAGTATAACTGAAAGCAAAGTTTAAATTCAGGAATTTTATTTGTTTGAGTTTACATGGTAGTATTGCTACTCTTACTTAAATTATCTAATTAATTGCTCCACTACGGAAGAGCAAAAGGAAAAGAACAAGAGAAATGGGACAGAAAGAGATAGAGAGTGAGGGAGAGACAGAGAAATGTAAGAGCAGGAAGTCAGAGGGCTATCAGTGGTGTGAATGGGCAGAGTGTAGAGCAGAGAGCCAGGCCTGTTGGCAAGACTCCAGTGAGGATAGTGGGTGCCCCTGTGCCAGCTGGCAGCCTGTCTCTCCCATCTGTGGAGCCTAGGAGAGTGTGCAGTAATCTCCTGGAGACAGCGGCTCAGCCCAGGCCAGATTTAAAGGGATATGGCCAGCTGGCCAGGCATGGACAGGTCTCTACCAGGGAGAGAAAGGAAGGGCAGGAGAAGGCCACAAAGAAGGGAGGGGTTGAGTGAGTGAGCTGTGATGAAACAGGTCAGGTGTAATGGCGAGGATGATGGGGGAGCTGAGGATTGGTGGTTAGGGAGCAATAAAGAGTACTGATAAGAATGATTATAGTCCAGCTGCCAGCAAATAATAGGACAGGTTGAATGTAATGTCCCTGCCTTAAACTGTGTAAACTACAATGGGTCTGTGCTGGCTGAGGTAATGTGACTAACATGTACCTGTGTCAATCCTACCTTACGTAAGGCTATATCTCACCACTCCGTTGCTTTTTCACACCGCTCTGTGTCACAAAACTAATGAAGTTAATTGAAGAGAGTGCTCTGTGCTTACTCCAGCAAAAGAAATAACACAAGCTGTAGGCCAAGTAGCTCTGCTTAGCTCTTGGTTTACTCCTCTCTGTGATTGTTGCAGATGGTAATCAGAGCCCAGCTGGCCCGTCGGCTGCAGCTTAAGGCCTGCATTTCAAAATAATATCAATCTTAGCAAGACATTTAATCCAGTATTTAACTTTATTTTTAGTGGAAACATTTCCAGAAGAAAAAGATAATTTTACTAACACAATAAAACAATTTAAATGTTTTTTTATAAATCCTTTTAAGCTTTCTTCTCTTCTTCTTCTTCTTCTTCTTCTTCTTCTTCTTCTTATTATTATTATTATTATTTATTGGTGAATTGTATGTATTTTTTTATACATACATACATATATATATTCCTGTACCAGCATCAATGTCTTGTTAGAACTACTTTTTCCTGCAGTGTGGGTACCAGGTGAGAGAAGGAGAATGTTAAGAGGGAGACGGAGAGGGACTCAACTTTACAGCTGGGGCCTGATTCCATATGTTAACATGCAAGTACAAAAACATTGCCTGCGAAGATGCTTTAAACACACATACACACCTATTGCTACAATCAAAGACAGTAGTCATACATGCACAGCTAGGCACACTCATATCTGCAAGATATCTGAGAACAATATCGTGTACGCATTCATACACAGGTGTGCTCAACTCACACACACTGACACAGACTGACACACACATGCTGAAACACAGAGGGACACACATGCCTGTGGCAATCGCAGAAGAATGAGCAAAGCCATGCAAATCCCCAGATATGCAGGAAGACAGGGGAAAGATGAAGAAGAGGGGATTGGGAGGAGGAGTGGAGTGCCTGGAAGGAAGGGAGGGGGGGTCTGATGGAGGGAGGAGGGAGGGGAGGGAGACGGCTGGGTGTTTACTACTGTTTAAAAGGCAGTGGGTGCTGTGTGCAGATTAATAAACAGGAGGTAATAGCAGAAGGACTCTATATTTATTTTTTATCTTAAATGTTGCTTGTTTGTCGGGCTGGATGAATATTGACTGTGAAATTGGGATCAGGGGCGACACATGCCAGTGCTCGGCCTTATCTCTGGGATGCAGGCAGGCCTGGGGCCGTTATCGCCGTGCCACAGTGGCGTGCCGGCACTCCAGCGCTCTCAAAGCCGCCACATTCCCTTTGTATGTGCCTGGAGAAGCCTGTTTACCTTTCACTGGCTTGATATTCCTATTAGAGCCGCTGACTATTTACTCACTGCCTCCTCCTCCTCTCCCTCCACCGGGTACTGTGCTGTCTCTCATCTCCTCTTCTTTCTTTTCCCCCCTCTCTGTTTGGCTATGCCTATCTAGCTTTTTTTTTTACTGTTTGTCTCCTTACTGTATATCTTTTTGTCCTGCTTCTGCCTCTGACCTTCACCATGACATAAAGTTCTGGACACAGACTTGCCTACCAAGAAGCAAATAGCTAAGAACCAGGGGAGTACTTTTATACAGATATTACATCCATAATGAGGCGGATTGCTTGACACCATGCACAGGAGGACAGCATTTCTCATGTGTTCACACACTTACCTGACTATGTGTGTGACTTCAACATGTTTTTCAACCATGACAGACATATTTTTATAACCTTGACAAAGTAGGATTTGTTGTCTAAATGTAACCATAGGTGTGGCAGATTAGAAAACAATTATACAAGTCCTTTTTGCCATGGTCATATGGGTCATTTTGGAAGAAACTAGGATGTTGTTTAGGTTGTTTTGCTACACAGTCTACATAAAAACTCTATATCAAGACAGATCTGGGTTCTAGCTGTTGTCATTGCTTCTGCCTTCTGGTGACAACAGAGTACCACCTCTGAAGCATCTAACTAGCTGCCATATTACATAAGTTATAAAACCCACATAAACAAACATGTTCTAAACTATATTTTAATAGATTTTTACTTTTACTGAGACATACATACAAACAAAACTAAAGGTAGGCATGTAGCAAAAGCCACAAAAAAAAACCACACAATTACATTACAGGCCTGGTATTCATTCTGGATCCAGTTCATTCAGAAACACATTTAAGTTTAGGAATTGGCCATTTATAGCCAAAGGTTATACTGTACAGTTAGATTTTGGAGAAAAGGTTTGGCTCTTTGAGTGATCTCTCAAAGAATCTGAGCAACAAGCATTCTGCTCTCCCCTTTAACAGTAATAATAATACGTGAACACCAAAGGAGTGAAGGAGTCAATACCAAAAGCTTAGCATGTAAGGAGGAGTTGGGAATGAAGGTACAGTATTAAACCGTCTACAGCTGTGTGTACATAATTAGATGTTGCTAGTCAGCTGTAGCTGAGCAGTTGATGAATGGGTCACTGATGGTGAAGTATGAATCAAGGAGCTGATACCAATCACCTAATGCAAACACAAATCTGTCAGAAATAATGCTATCCTTCATATTTCCAACAGTGACTATTTGATTTCAGTTCTAAATTCAGATAAAGTCTTCAACAATTCCCTTGATCGGCATGAATTATATCTTTAGGTATTTATGAGATATAGATGGAAAAGGGATTTCAATTTCAGAGAAAATGTTCCTGCGTAGAAACTGAAGCTGCAATGCCTAGATATCACACTGCTTTTGACATTGCATTGCAACTTTTTTTTTACCACTGGTAATAGGCTTTTGAACACACGAATCTCATGTGTGCACAAATATGAATACATGTGAAGTTTGCATAATAAGCTAGACATACTAAAGGTTTTAAATAATTAAGTAATTTAATAGGTTTGGATACTTTGGTTAACCCAATAATTTTTTCATATTCACACAAATTGTTTACAACTTAGTACTGCTTTGTGTTACATATACAACGGTTTGAGAACACCTGTTTTAGAGCACTTAGAGATATATGTTTCTTGGGAAAGCGCTTTAACAATCAAGTGCAACATCAGGCAATAAAGAATTTAAGAGAAATCATATTACAAAAATTTTACTAACCAGATGTGGTGCAAGCCCCAAAGGGATGATTCCCTTAAACAAGTTACTCTCTCTCCATCTACCGTACTTTACTATTACCAGGCAGCTGTGTACACCAGCTTTCAACTGCATCGCAACCTGCAGGCAAATACAACAAAAACAGAAAAGAACTGAGTTTGGCAGCCAATCAGTCAGTTAAAGATTTCAGACAATTAACTGGCACACCTGCGATAGGAATATCAGTGACATAGCTAAACACAACTTTTTTGTGTGACATTCAAGTGTCTACCAGTCTCCTCTCCTAAGGGAAGGGCACTCAGATTCCTCCGGTGATGACTCTTCTCTGACTGCAATCTTCATGGCAGTTTTTTTGTTTTATCTCTCTCCTCCATGCAGGGTACGCTGAGGGGCTTGAGGCGTACTGTGCCGCATGCCATGCCACGAGGTGGGATAAGGAGCAAACAAACATACGGGCAGCGCTTAGCAACCCTGATCAGAGTGTCTGCCAGGGTCCTGATAAGCTGACAGGCTGGAGAGGACAGTGAGAGGTGGAAGGAGTGGGTTGTGAGGATGTAAGGCTGACATTGGAGGGTGCTTTCCCTCTCTGAGCACTAATGGCCGTGAATATCACGAGAGGCCCAAAGAATTGTATTAGAGCGGAAGGGCCTGAAGAACAGAGACGCAAATTCATCTGTCTCTGACATACAATCTCAGAAGATAGTGCATTTGTAAATTGCATTCAGATTGAATGGACTAGTTTTTGTCATATTTGACCATTGTAGTGTTTTTGCAGTCTCTGTTTATTTGCTGCAATGACTGTAGTTAGCTAGCATGCACAGATGTGAACTACATGTTTTGCCTGTGTGTGTGAGAAAGCTCATATATGCCCTTGTAACCAAGTAAGGTCACCAGATTACCAGATTTTATTATAGGTACCGATAATGCCACTTTAGGACTTTCACGTAAAGAATATACAGTAAAAGTGTGGCAGACCTATACCACCTATTGTATACAAGAGGGTTCCCCTTTAAGTAAACACAAAGGCCCACAAATTAATACAGAGGTGTACAAATATATAAGTAATCTTTATTTTTAACAATATTCTTTACAATTGCACATTTTAAAATATCCTAAAATACTGTATATAGTGAAATACAAATGCTTACAAAAATAAATTTTGCTTAATCAGTGAATCCACCAAGCTCAACAAGATTAATGAAATTATAATCAGTTACAGGGGAACCTTAGTTTAGGGGAGGGGCTGCAGCTAAATGCAGCTGGGTTAACTGTTAGCAAGCAGCCTGTATACTCTATAGCCTCTAAAACTACAAAAAGACAAAAAGGGAAAAAAAAACTAAACTACTAACAAACAACCAAAAGAACACGAGGGGACAGAAAGAAACAGAGTTCACAAGAGAAAAATATACCCACTTGCGGTACAATAGGGCCCGGACAAACACTGCACACCACTGCAACCACCCCTTACAATATTGCCCTTCAGATAAACACACGGTTAGTGAGCAATGCAATAGTGTGAACTAGCACAACACTGCTTCCCTGCACCCCAGTAAGCTTTCTTTTGTACCTTGGTGTTACCTTCCTTGACCGAATGGTGGGGCCAGCCTGGCATCGTCTTGTGTCAGCAACCACCCACTGACGGCTAATGGCTCGGTGTTGGTTTCAGCTATTTTTGGTTAACATATCACAGTTTTGATCAGAGGACTTTCCACTACTCCTCAGCAACCCTCTTGTGTCAGTGTATCCTTCCTCCTTCTCTTTTGCCATCTAGCTCCAACAAACTCATATTAAATAAGACCCACCTTCTTTTACGTTACATCTACATTACATATTTCTTCTTCTTGGGGTTCTGTATAGCTCACCTGAGTTGGCGCCCCATGTACCATGGTTAAGTACCTATTGTAGTGGCCAACCAAGTCTGACCTGTGGCCCTATGCTGCATGTCATCCTCTCTCTCTCTATGTTTATATACAGTATATAGGGCACCAGTTTGAATGGGCTTGATGGAACTGATAAAATAAATAGTAGTATTACTAGATATAATTTTCTCTTAGAGGACCTCTTAGAATTTAACTTAGGTCAGGAGAGCAAACAGATAACATTATCATTCATAATTAACATTAAATGTAACGTAACGTAAACATATGCAGCTGCTACCAGTATAACATATGAAATGTATCTAGCTAGTTAATGTTAGCTACTTATCTCATGTTAACCGGCTTTTTTGCCATGTCACCACCATATATATCTACAACCAATGTGTTTATGATGTTTACTTGTATGTTTTCTGTAGGTCTAGCCACTTAATTTTGCTCTTAAATGGCATCAGATTGATGTAGTTCCACCCACCACAGGCTCACAAAATCCTGTGGGAAACACTGAAAAGGATAAACATAATGTAGTGTGCCCCTATGGGATATAACGGGATATGTTTATATTTTGGTCCTCCATGACCCGGAAGTGTATTTTCATCTCATTGTCTAACTATCTGAACATCTGCCAGTCTTGGTTGGTCAATCCATCTGTCTGCTGATTAGCACACATCTGTCCATCTATCCATCTGCCAGCTTTTGCAGTTAATATGTGGGGGACATGAGCAACATTACTGTCATGTTGTACAGCAGTGGAGAGAGAGAGGACAGAAAAGGATGACGAGACTGACATGGAAAGTAAATAAAAATTTGATTAGAAGACACCTGAACAAACTTAATCAAAGAGGACCTGCTGACCTGCTTGCGTACACACATGCACACACACGCACACACACGCACACCCACAGTTACCCGAAAAATAGGGATTCTGACAGGCAATGATTAAATATCATTAGCAAATAATTACCATTTCTCATTAATCAAATCTAATCTGGATGTAGTATGCATTTATAATGTTTTTATGAGATATAACTGTCAGTCACACATGAGCTGTATGGGACAGTAATGCATTACAATAATGTGATAACTTTCTGTATGACAAATATTTTAAGGAATTACACTTAAGTAGTTACATTACACTCACTAACACTGCATTTAAAAAGCCAAATAATGTAGCAAGTAGCAACTTAATTTTGCTGCTGAATACTTCGTAAAGTAATGTAATTACTTTTTAAATGAGTATTAGTTGGGGTGCCCAGTTAGCTCAGTGGGTAGAATTGGCGACCCATGTACTGAGGCCGAGACCCTGTTGCAGCAGCCCAGGGTTCAAATCTGACCTGTGGCCCCCTGCTGCGTGCCATCCCCCCGCCCGCCCCCAGCTGCCCCACCAAACAAAAGCCAAAAACAATACTTTAAAAAAAAAAGTATTAGTTATGTTCTTATTATTAGTTAGTTTTTAATTGTTCACAGAAATTGCCAGCTGCAAACAACCTTCCTAAAACTGAGTAGAATAGTGTAGTAGTATTTGAGTGTCTGAACATTTATCTGTATTTTGTCCTACTATGCAAACCCAAACCATATGCCTCTCGAGAAGAATAAACAAAGCATAGAAAGTATTTGCAAATACTGTTTGACCCATCTGTTTACAGATCAGTGAACCTTAATTGGCGCTGTCAGCCCATGCTCACTTCCAGCCTATCCATTTCAATACTGAGACAATAACAACATTATGGAGCTCAATAGCTCATATTCCTATGTGGCAGTAATATCTAGATCCCCCCCTCCTCTCTGTGCAAATCAATGGAGTGAGATGGCCTTTGGCTTCATTTTTCATCTTTAATATTGATTGCTGTTCTACTTTGGAGTGCACTGTCAGTCCAATTACGGATAATTTAATTGATTTTTCTTCACAAGTTAGATTGGATTGGTTTATGCAAAGCAGATCAAACCAAAATACTCCCTGGACTCCCTTCTACGTGTAAAATACAGCTCTAATGAGCAGGAGCACCCTGACACTTTCTATATCCCACCCCCTTCTCCCCCTGTTTCTCTCTCTCAGCACAATGGACACATGTGAACACACTCACACACACACAACAATTCAATGTAACAGCATAAGCGATAATTATTGTCAGAAACCATTTTGATGATCCCACCAATGTTACATGAATAATCATCTTCAGTACACTATAATTGCCAAGAATTATTGTGTTCAATAGAGTGGGTGGCTCCAAACCATCCACTGTTGTATTTTTCCCCCAGAGAGAGTTGAAACTTAGGCAAAGAGTTGATAATTCATACAATTATATGTAATGAATAAAGCAGGTGTCTCTTCATTTGAAAATTCCACAATGACCTTTACAGGAAGCCTCCTCTCATGAAATATACATGACCCTGAACACAATATGTCAGACAGCTAGACAAGGCTAATTAGCTGCAGGTAAATTCTGAAGGCCTCGCTCTCTTTTTTTTTACACTCTCTCTCTCACACGCAAACACACACACACACACACACACACACACACACCTTGGTCAAAGCACTTGGTTCTTCTGCACAAAGTGACACTGCCTCACAGGTCTAAGAGTGTTGACTTTACTACATTTTACAGTTGTTTTGGTTGCTGGATAGTTTCAGCTTTGTACTGAACTGCCCCAAACTTCAACAAAAACAAGAAATTTGGGGTTATATTTAACTATTATTATTTTATTTTTATATGAAGACAATAGAGTGTCCTAGTGGAGTTTAAATTTGTTCAGCAATTCTCTTGAAATGTGTCAAGAGAAGTATTGTTTTAAAAATTAGATATAATAAAATGTTGATCAGTAAAGGAAGTCCTTGACAGGAAATAGTCCTACACATAACCCCATAAACTAAGATAAGTCTTTATGTTAAGCTAACTGGCTGTTGGCTGTAGTTTCATATTAAACAGACAGTTATTCGCTTGTTAAGTAAGAGTGGTATCAATTGTCTCATCCAGCTATCGGCATAAAGTGTACATATAAAAGTATTTTTTGCAAAATGTCTATTGCTTTAAATGCTGAATGAGATAGAGCATTTTACCAACCCTGTAACTCTGAAAATAATAGTAGGAAACTATTATTCATCCTGCTACTACCAATATTAGAGCTAAATGTATATAGTCACAGTGGGATACTCCTACAGTGGCCACCACTGTATACCTCACTTAAGTTCCTATTTTATTATTATTTGCTGGAGAGCAGTGGGCTAATGTTTAATGTATGAATCTTTAGACATGTTATTGTGTCTGTTTGTTTGGTTGGCATAAAGCAGTGGAAATGTGTTGTCTCTCGCAGTCTATCGCTTGTCTCCTCACTTAAATCTCTACTTTCACATTCCTGGAGGCTGGTATTGGAGCTAACACCCCTCCTCTTTGCACCTTTACACAGCCTGTGAGGTGTGTGTGTGTGTGTGTGTGTGTGTGTGTGTGTGTGTGTGTGTGTGTGTGTGTGTGTGTGAGGGACAGAGTGAGACGGAGATGGTGCTGTCTTCTATGTCTCTGGGTGCCCCCTTGCTGAGCT